CTTTTCCCTCCACTGTCTAATGTTCAGTAACTGACAATTATTGTTTTATATGTTTTGTCCACATTTTTGTTTTTTTCAGTTATAGGGATGTAAATCCAGTCCCTGTTACTCTATTTTCATTTGAAGCATAAATGTGGCTTGATGTTTCAAATGATGGTTAATTTTTCAGGGCTTGTTTTCACTTCTAACCAAAGTGCATTTCATATGTATCTGGACTTGCTGAAAGAGTCCAGTGTTTGTACACTATTCTTGCTCTGCCTCTGGCTAGAAAATTCAAACTGCATAGCTTTCTTTGGTCACAAGGTGGCCCTTAAGTTTATTGTCCAAATTTCCTTCAATAGATTTTATTTTTTTAAGAAAAAAATCCAGCAATTATTTGTAGTCAAACGTTATATTATCAATATTATTATTTAAATTTTATTGAAATGCATAAGGATTCAAACATGTATCCTTGTTGGTCATTTGCTGACAAACACTAAATCTATACTCACTTAGTTTTTCATTCATCAGATATCTACTAGATATACATGATATACTAAAATTTCAATGACGCAATCCATAGCTACATCTCAAAACTTTTTTGAACACCCTTTTCTTTGATAACAAAGGGCACACTCTCTAATCTCACTGTCTTCTCTTTGCTAGATTTTTTAGGTATTTATGAGAAGAATTTGTCTATCCCTTTTGTGGTTTTAGAAAAGGCAGAGGAACCAGAGATCAAATTGTCAATATCCGATGGATCATCGAAAAAGCAAGAAAGTTCCAGAAAAACATCTATTTCTGCTTTATTGACTACGCCAAAGCCTTCAGCTGTGTGGATCACAATAAACTGTGGAAAATTCTGAAGGAGATGGGAATACCAGACTACCCAACCTGCCTCATGAGAAGCCTGTATGCAGGTCAGGAAGCAACAGTTAGAACTGGACATGGAAAAACAGACTGGTTCCAAATAGGAAAAGGAATACATCAAGGCTGTATATTGTTACCCTGCTTATTTAACTTCTATGCAGAGTACATCATGAGAAACGCTGGTCTGGAAGAAGCACAAGCTGGAATCAAGATTGCCGGGAGAAACTCAGATATGCAGATGACACCACCATTATGGCTTGATGAAAGTGAAAGAGGAGAGTGAAAAAGTTGGCTTAAAGCTCAACATTCAGAAAACTAAGATCATGGCATCTGGTCCCATCACTTCATGGGAAACAGATGGGGAAACAGTGGAAAAAGTGTCAGACTTTATTTTGGGGGGCCCCAAAATCACTGCAGATGGTGACTGCAGCCATGAAATTAAAAGACTTACTTTTACTTATGCTTACTCCTTGGAAGGAAAGTTATGACCAACCTGGATAGCATATTAAAAAGCAGAGACATTACTTTGCCCACAAAGGTCCGTCTGGTCAAGGCTCTGGTTTTCCCAGTGGTCATGTATGGATGTGAGAGTTGGACTGTGAAGAAAGCTGAGTGCTGAAAAATTGGTGCTTTTAAACTGTGGTGTTGGAGAAGACTCTTGAGAGTCCCTTGGACTGCAAGGAGATCCAACCAGTCCATCCTGAAGGAGATAAGTCCTGGGTGTTCATTGGAAGGACTGATGCTGAAGCTGAAACTCCAATACTTTGGCCACCTCATGCGAAGAGTTGACTCATTGGAAAAGACCCTGATGCTGGGAGGGATTGGGGGCAGGAGGAGGAGGGGACGACAGAGGATGAGATGGCTGGATGGCATCACCGACTCGATGGGCATGAGTTTGAGTAAACTCAGAGAGTTGGTGATGGACAGGGAGGCCTGGCGTGCTGTGATTCATGGGGTCGCAAAGGGTCCGACATGACTGAACGACTGAACTGAACTGAACTTTGTGAAGAATGGCCACTGAGAGAGAAAAGGAAGCTTGCCACATAGAAATGATGTCAATAAGCAAATACAGCCAGGTCTTAGATATGGCTGTTCCCTTCAAGGGAACTCCATGCCCAGTTTCCTTATTGGCTTTTGATCACTTTCTGCTGGTTGTTTGTTGCATGAGCATCTTACATGGAGCCTGACCACTCACATACTACACCATTAGATGCCCTTTCAGATCCAAACACTCTGTTAAGAGCTAAGAGAAGGTGGTTAACAGAAAGCATTCTGTCCAGAGACTAGAATCCTAAACTCATCCTTCTCTGAGGCTGAGAGAGCACCTTGGATCTACCTGTATACAAAGAGACGTACAGTTTTGGGGGTATATGCATGTCTAACCTTCTATCAAATATATACTATAAATTCACTCACACATGAGCTTCCAATTTCTCTTCATGAAGGAAATGCTGAATATCCTTAGGCCAAGAAAATGCTTCTGTTTTCCATAGAAGTTGGTGCAAACATTGGCAGTCAAGACTGATAAGTCTAAAAGACTTCCCTGACAATTCAGTGGTTAATACTCCGTGCTTCCACTGCAGAGGGTGTGGGTTCAATTCCTGGTTGGGGAAACTAAGACCCTGAATGTGGCATGTTGTGGCCAAAAATATACAGTTTAAAAAAAAAGAAGAAAAAGAGTGAGAAGTCTGATGGGCATAAGCCTCTCTGTTCATTTGTTTTCCTGTCTTTTCAACTTTAGCCTTTCTCTTTATAAATTTCTGTCTCATATGCATATACCTGTGTCTCAAGCACCTAGAGGAGGAAGGGCTTTGAAATTGATTAGGCATCCGATTCATGATGTCTGGGGTTTGCTGTGTTACATGCCATTTTCACCTGCCTAGCCATTTTCCCCTTTGGACTTGTAAGTTCTATTGTGATGCTATATTCTAGAGCGGGGGGTATAGGTGTACAGGTGTACATCTCTTTGTGTATAGGTAGATCCAAGGTGCCCTGTCAGCCTCAGAGAAGGACAAGTTTAGGATTCTAGTCTCTGGACAGAATGCTATAAACCACCTTCCCTTGGCTCTTAACAGAGTGTTTGGATATGAAAGGGTATCTAATGGTGTAGTATGTGAGTGGTTAGGCTCCATGTAAGAAGCTCAGGCAACAACCAACCAAACTTTCTCTATTAGGGCCAAATAAGTATGCAGGCTTTACAAGTGGGCCATACCATCTCTTCACAACTACTCATTTCTGCCACTGTAAGCCAAAACCAACCATAGATAATATATAAATTAATAAATATGTCTGTATTCCAATAAAGCTTTATGGATACCAACATTTGAATTTCATATAATTTTTACATGTCACAAAATATTTTTCAACCACTAAAAAATGTAAAATTTATTCTTAGCTCATTGGCCAAAAAAAATAAGCAGGAGGATAGATTTGGCTCATGGGCTATGGTTTGCCAAGTTCTGTTCTAGAATCCTAACTTCTAAGTTTATTTCCACAGAAGACTCTCTTCATACTTATGTATTTCACCTACTTAGCACACTGCATGGCAATTTCATTTTCTTTTGGGACACTAATCCAATAGTCCTCCAATCAATCTTCTCATAAAGATGTCCACACTTGGTTATCTCCTGAATTCACTGACATGATCTCCTGGAATCTAACTCAATATTGTTGCTCAATCACTTAGTCATGTCCGATTCCTTGCGACCCCATGGACTCAATATAGGATAATTTTTTACTTTCATAGGTTTCACGAGGGTGATGTGAGGAGGGACTTTCTCAAATTGTTAAGTGAGCTGTTCCCTCACACATCTTGCATAGTATCATATACAGAGAGATTTCTTGGGAAGGCACTTGGGAAAGACAGGGTCTTTCCAGGAAGCATAACAGAGAGAAGGGATTTATGCACAGTTTATGGAACAGAGTGAAGATTCATTTGGAATTCCAGAGACATAGTAGGACTTTCTCACCTTAAGGACCCCTTGTACATCAACACCCTGGGAAGAAGGTGGAAATGGGGCACAACAGCAGAGGAATGGAAGTACCTACTTACCCTTTAGCCTATTGAACTTGTTTGTGAGTATAGGGATAACTCGGCTTTGGGAACTTCCCTCAAATAACTGAAGGTAGTATCTAAAGGGTTGGGTCATGCATCTCCCAGCAGCAGTTAAGAGTTTAAAGAAAGCTTACAGACTTATTGCCTCATCAAGTGCACACAAAAGGCTTGGGAGGTGATTATTATATTCATCTTGCTGAGAAACATTATGATTTTTAAAGAGGTATGTCTCATCATCATTAGGTTTATACTTCTAAATAAGAGATTGAGGTAACCTAAAAACAAGATTTTGTCATAAGTACTTAGAAGTGCTCACATTACTTTCACCAGGTAGTCAACAAGCTCTTTCCTTAATATGTATTATTTTGAAAACTGAGAAAATGGAGGGAGTTCCCTGGCAGTCCAGTGGTTAGGACTTGGCACTTTCACTGCTGCAGCCCCAGTTCAATCTATGGTCAAGGAACTAAGATCCCACAAGCTGCAAAACATGGCCAAAAAGAAAAAAAAATTAGTACATGGAGGGTGTAACATGTGAGTCACCAGGACCTCAAATCTTTAAAATGAGGATGCCCTCTGACAGTTCTAAATTGATAAATCTGATAGACAATGAACATGGCTTTCCATTTCTGTGAAAAACACAAGAAATTATCTGTGACTGTGATACTGAAAAGGTAAGATCTAGTACTCCAATCAGCATCATTTGGGAATTTTCCAATGCAGACAAACAAAAAAAGAGGGAGAAAATAAAGATAAGAAAATTAAAATTATTCATAGTTCTACCATAAATAGATACTGTTACTTTATATATTCTTAGATGGTGTGTTCATATATAAAACATATACGATTTTATGGGAAAAGATGCTTTTTTAAACTTTTATTAATTCACAATATATAATGAACATTTCTCCATGCAACAGTTAAAACTTTCCTGCTGACAGAAACTTAGAGACTGGGTCAAAAACACAACAATTAGAAGCTGGTAATAGGAAACGCGCAAGAAACAAGTTTAACACCAAAACGTTTACAACAAAGGTAAGTCAAGAACATGTAAGTTTAGGAAGTAAGTGTCTCCTAACTTCACGGAAAACATCAGGATTCAAGGCATAAGGCAAAACTCATCATGATGCTCATGGTAAGGGGGGTCAATGCTAACTGCCCGCAGACTATGACTCAACTGCTTTTCCCTCAGCTTTTCCCTCAGCTGCCTCACCTCCTCCCCAATCCTTTCCATATTATCTTCTCTCATCCTCGCCTGTGGCTCTCCAAGCCTCTGAGTCACGTCCCATCTATAATGTATTATGGGCTGCCTAACACGGAACCGCCTACGAGTTCCTCTAGGTACAGAATATTCACTAGCACCCGAAAGGAGGGCCATAGGTTCTCTTTTATTAGCATCTTGATCCTTTCCATCTTTTTTTTCATTCTCCTGGTTGGCATCTTCCATGTTGCAATTTTTTACTGCTTGTTTCTCTTTGGACGCCATTGCTCCTAGGAGACAAAAGATGCAACAAGGGACTATTTTCTGGGTGGATGATCAGCACCGAGGACAGAGGCCCTACTACGCACCTCTCAATATTCCCATTTCTTGTGGTCAAAGGCTTTTCAAATTTTCCTTTTCCCACCTGAGAGGCCTCCTACGCCCTCTAGGGGGCCCCCAGTCCGAGCACTGCCCCCGTCCCGCGCCCCAAACCCACCATTTTCCCTGCCGATCCAGGCCCAGGTCTCTGCAGGCATCAAAATGGAGGACGGGGTTGCAGGGAGCATTTGGAGTCTTAGGGTTTTCCCCCTCGTTCCTCCCACCGCCCAACTGTCCCTCGCACCGACCTGGGCCTATCCTTGCTGTCTCCTGCTCCTCCCGATTCTTGCTGCAAGTGTGCCGCCGAAACACTTCCGACTCGCAGACCTGCAGAGGGTCGGGGTGGGGGCAGGAGGCTGCTGCAGCTGGGCGCTCGGCCCCCTCCCGGCCCCGGATCCCCTACCCCCAGCCACCCCCATCCAGTGTGCCCCGCTCCCACGCTCAGCCGCCCCCTTCCCAGCCCCAACACCCGGCACCGACCACCATTTTTTCTACCCCGAGAAGATCGGGGGTGGGGCGGGGCTGTGGGGAAAGCTTGCTACGGTGCGAGAGGCAGGTGTTCGCAAGGGGCTATTGCCCCAAGGTCTCCCGGCCCGTTCCCAACCTCAGCTCCCGGAAAGGCCTGCCGCTTTAGGCGGCCAAATACTGGGCCGCGGGGGGGGGGGGGGGGGGCGGGGGGGCGGGGGGGCGGGGTGTGGGAGCTGCAGTCTCCACTCCGGGGCAACAGGCCCCCCAAGGAAGGGTCCACAGGCCGCGTCCGCTCGCCCACGCCACCTTTGCGGATCCCACTCCGGATCCCTTACCTGTTCCCCTCGTGCCTGCCACTCTTGGGGGCCGCCCCAGCCCGCACTCCCCTCAGGGCCAGGCGGAGCAGGTACCAAGAAGCGAGCGGGTGACCGTCGGGTCTGACGCAAGAGCTGGGAGTGCAAGACGGCGCCGCCCGGTCACGTGGGGCATTCGTCACCGCAGAAGGCCACGCCCTCACCCCACCCCTCCTGCCCCGAGCGGGGGTCTCTCAGAGCCGGAGCCAGCAGGGACACCTCCCCTTGCACCCCACTCTTACCCACCCACCCCGCCGCCCACCACCCGGCCCCGTGACACTTGTCCAGGAGCCGGCGTCAGAGCTCTCCTTTCTTCATTTGTTCCTGGGTCTTTCTCTTCTGGCCTTGGAAGGGCAGTACCTTCCCAGGGGGCCGATGGCCATGCCTACTTCTCTGCTGAAGACTTGAGTTTTCCCTCTTGTTCCCAGGACCCTCTTTCCACCTGCTGTCTTTGCTTCCAGTCTCTCTTTTCCTCCACTAAAACGGATAGAAGAAATAGGTCCTGAAAAGAGCCTAGGAGTCTGGATTTTGAAAAATTCTTAATATCTCTGTGTTTTGTTCCCTTCCCTTTATTTTAAACAAGAGTCAATGTACTTTTTAAAAAGGAAATACATCGTGGTTTTTATTTGAAAAGGGGTTAAAGTTTGGTGAAAAGAAACCAACCACCTGCTTCTTCTGCTAAGTCGTTATATAAATATAGACGCTACAGGCAGCTACATTTTTAGAACTTGGAAAAGGACAGGACAGCTGATGGTTCCTCTTCTGAGGGTCCCCTAGATTCATGAGGCCCTTCCATGAAGTGAGCCAATAAGTGTGTAGTACAGCAGAGCCTTGTTTGTTTTTCAGAGCTAAAAGAACAGCAGAAACTCCGTCACAAATTTCTGATTCAAAAGGCAGTATGTCTGTTTGCAAACGGCATGATCATATGTTGATAAATTCCTGAGGCATCTACAATAAACCTACTGTAGAACTAAAAATTTAATTTAGCACACTTGTAGTTATACAGAAACTCAGTCGTGATCCTGTATGCTAGCAATGAACAATTGGAATTGGGATAAATTTAAGAAAACTCATACACTGAAAACTACAAAACACCACCGAAAAAAGCTAAAATCAAAATGAATGTGAAGATGAACCATGGTCTTTGATCAAGAAATTCAGTACTGTTAAGATATTAATTCTCTTTAAGTTGATCTATAAATTCAGTGCCTCCCTTGTAGCTCAGGTAGTAAAGAATCTGCCTGCAATGCGGGAGAGCTGGCTTCCATTCCTGGTTGGGGAAGATCCCTTGGAGAAGGAAATGGCAACCTACTCCAGTAGTCTTACCTGGAGAATCCCATGGAGAGAGGAGCCAGTCCATGGGGTGGCAAAAGTCAGACATGACTTAGCGACTAAAGCACCATAAATTTAGTGCTGTCAAAATCATACTTGCAGCAGGCAACTTCATATAAATTGATAAACTTTGTTGTTGTTTAGTTGCTAAGTCATGTCCGACTCTTTGTGACCCTGTGGACCATAACCCACCAGGCACCTCTGTCCACGATGTTTCCCGGGCAAGAATGCTTGAATGGGTTGCCATTTCATTCTCCAAAATTGACAAACTTACCCTCCCCCCAAATTTATATGGAAATACAAAGGGCCTAGAACAGGCAAAATAATTTTGAAAAGAAAAACACAAATCTGGAAAATTGTGTTATCTAAGTTCTAGACTTACAATGTAATTGTACAGATAGTGGAGTTTACAGACACTGGACTTACCAAAATTAAAAACTTCTACTTTTTGAAAGATATGGTTAAAAAATGAAATGGGAAGCTGGGAGAAAATATTTATAATATGTGTAACTAACAAAAGGTTTGTATCCAGAAGATGTATAAAGGACCCAAGTTTAAAAATAAGAAGGTAGCAATGCAATTAAAAATGATCAAAATAAATAATATATGAAAATTTAAAAAAAAAGATGATCAGAATGAACAAAAATCTCACAAAAGTACATATATCAATTACCAATGAGCTCATAGAATGATGCTCAACCTCAATCATCAAGAAAATGTAAAAAAATACAGAATAAAATATCACCACATACTCATCAGAGTCTGACAGTCTTAAGTATTTTTGAGGATATGGACAACTGGGATTCTCATTCACTGCTGGTAAGAAGTTCAATCACCTTGACAGATTTTAACAGTTTCTTGAAAAGTTAGACTTACACTTAACCATATGTCCTGAAAATTCCACTCTTAGGAATTTTCCCAAACAGAATTTAAAATATATGTCCTCAGAAAAACTTGCACAGGAATGCTCATAGCAATTCCATTAATTATAGCCCCTAAATGGATACAATCCAAAAGTCCATCAAGAAATGAATAAAAAAATTGTGATGCATTCATGCATTAGAATACTTTGAAGCCATAGAAAGGGACAAAGTACTGGTACAAGCAATGACAGAGATGCATCTGAAAAAATATCATATGTAAGAGTTACCAGATACAAAATAGTGCATTCTGCATGATTCCATTTATATAAAGTTCTAGAAAAGACAATATGTATGCAGGTCGAGAAGCAACAATTAGAACCTGACATGGAACAACAGACTGGTTCCAAATTGGGAAAGGAGTACGTCAAGACTGTATATTGTCACCCTGCTTATTTAGCGTATATGCAGAGTACATCATGCGAAATGCTGGGCTGGATGAAGCATAAGCTGGAATCAAGATTGCCCGGAGAAATATCAATAATCTTAGATATGCAGATGACACCACCCTTCTGACATCAAGCAAAGAAAAACTAAGAGCCTCTTGATGAAAGTGAAAGAGGAGAGTGAAAAAGCTGGCTTAAAACTCAACATTCAGGAAATGAAGATCATGGCATCTGGTTCCATCACTTCATGGCAAATAGATGGGGAAACAATGAAAACAGTGACAGACTTTATTTTCTTGGGCTCCAAGATCACTGCAGATGGTGATTGCAGCCATGAAATTAAAAGACACTTGCTTCTTGGAAGAAAAGCTATGACCAACCTAGACAGCATATTAAAGAGCAGAGACATTACTTTATCAACAAAGGTCAGTCTAGTCAAAGCTATGGTTTTTCCAGTAGTCCTGTTATGGATGTGAGAGTTGGACAACAAAGAAAGCTCAGTGCCGAAGAATTGATGCTTATGAACTGTGCTGTTGGACCAAAGACTCTTGGAGAGTCCCTTGGACTACAAGTCCATCCTAAAGGAAATCAGTCCTGAATACTCATTGGAAGGACTGATGCTGAAGCTGAAGCTCCAATACTTTGGCCACCTGATGTGAAGAACTGAATCCTTGGAAAATACCCTGATGCTGGGAAAGATTGAAGGCAGAAGAAGGGGACAACAGAGGATGAGATGGTTGGATGGCATCACCAACTCAATGGATATGAGCTTGTGCATGTTCCAGGAGTTGGTGATGGACAGGGAAGCCTGGTGTGCTGCAGTCCATAGGGTCACAAAGAGTTGGACATGACTGAGTGACTGAACTGAACTGAGAACAGGCAAAACTAAATTATATTGATGTAAATTTAATTAAAACAATGTTTGCCTGACTTGAAACTTGTTATTTTTCTGACTGTAAAAGGGGAGTAACAGAGCTTTTTCAGCTGAGGGAAATGTTCTCTATCTTGATGGGGTAGTGACTCCACTGGCAAATGTTTGTTGAAATCATTGAACTGTATAATTAAAATGCCTATGTATCTTATTGTATGTAAATTATACTGAATAAAGGTGACTAAAAGTCAAATAGGAAAAGCCTAATTAAATACTTGCAAGACCTCTACACTGAAAATTATAATATAATTTTGAAAAACATTAAAGAAGACCTAAATAAGTGTAGAAATATGGATTGGAACACAATATTTTAAAGTTGTCAATTATTGCAAAATTGATCCATAAATTCAATGCAATCCATATAAAATCTCAGCAGATTATTTTTCTGTTGACAAGCAGAACCCCAGCTTTGTATATGAAAATGTAAATAAAGAACCAAATATAACCAAGACAACTTTGAAGAAGAGCACTCCAAGATTTCCATACAAGATACCAAGCTTAATACAATGCTATAGTG